TAGGCCCACCTGATTGCAAAGGAAGACCACCTCTGACTTCCACTTCTGTCTCATACATACACTTCTAAAACGTGAACTGGTTATTCAAAAGTAGGATCCAAATTTAGCAACAGGAAAGCTTAGCCAACTCCTTGATGTTTCTTTTATTTGAATCACACACGGTCACAGTCATGTTTCCCTTTGACCCAAACGTAAGTGATCGCAAGCGCCGTAACTTTATAGGCCTCTGGGTGATCCGGGTTCTGCACTTCCACTAACACGTATTCGCCATGGTTATTAGGTTCCCTTACTTTTCAATACATACAGCATTATATTACTTCCTCACTCTGGCAACCAAACTTCAAGGAAACATCTGGAATAATAGTAGAGTTGGTGTTTGATTAGAGCTACATCCTCAGCTTCATTCATTTGGAAATGACTAATTTCAACCTTTGGGTTTGAACTGAGCACAGAGGGAGGTATGCTTCAGGAGTTTGCTAGCACTTTCCCACAGAGACAAGAAGTCGCCAATGCAAACCCTGAGACAGCGCTCACCTCCTCTGCCCTAGGAGAACGATGGAGGGGTCCCTCCATACTGTGAGTGCTGTTCAGGGGTTTCCAACAATCCTGGGTTAACTACTGATGACTCAAGGTGAATCCCTAAGTTTCTCAAACAGAATTTTTTAACTCAGCTTAATTGTTTTAAATGAATGCTCCAGAACACTCGTTCTCAACATTGGTCACAGAGTCAGGGCACTTTCATCAATACCAATGTTCAGCTTCCTTCCTTCCCCCACCATCCCTTCAAAGATTTCAGTCTAACTGGTTCAGAGTGACACCCATACCTTAGTATTTTCTTAAATGCAGCTCAGCTGTACTGAGTAAATTAAGATACTATTGTTAAATATTTTAGCTATGATAACAGCATTGTGGCTGTGTTTTTGAAATTGAGTTCTTCATTGGTGGAAAAACTGGTGAAATTCCAATAAGGTCTTGGTTTACATAATAGTACTGTACCAGCGTTAATTTCCTGGTTTTGATCATGGTCCGTGTGCTTCTGTAAGATGCTCACTTTCGAGGAAGCTGTGTGAGGGATATACAGGAACTCTCTGAATTATTTATGGGATTTTTCTCTAAGTCTGAAATTGATTCAGATTAAAAAGCTTTTTTTAAAGAGTCTTTTAAAGATACATGCTCAAATATTTATGAATGAAATTATAAGCTTGCTTGAGATTTACTGCCAAACAGACCGGCTGAGGAAGTGACGGGGAGTGAGCGGGGTATGGATGAAACAGGAGGGCGGACACGTTCACGCCTGCAGCAGGCGCGCTGAGCACATGGCGGCTCACAGTTACTTGTCTACTTCAGCGTGCGTGTAAAGTTTTCCATCATATATATGGGAGGAAAAAAGTTCCCAGGTGATTCTGACACATACTCAGGGCCAAGAAACACTGCTCTGAGTCTTGAAAATGTATAATGAGAAGCTCTGTCTTTACTACCAGCTAAAACACTTTATCCAGCTCTTTAAAAATGAGCTGGTCAATCTTTCTGTAGCACTACACTCTCCTAAACTACAAAACGACAAACATAGATTAGAGGACCTTTCAAAAAGAAGACAAGAAGCATTAAGAAGCTGATTTTTTCTAAAATCGTCTCTCTAAAAGTTAATGTCATGGTTAATTTCTAGCATAACAGTCAAAATGGTAAAGCTTTTCTTACGTGTATAAGAGCGTTTTACAAAGAAGTTTCTTAAAAAATGATAATTCTATAAGATGTTACCTTATACAGGAGTTCTGAGATCAAAAAGTTGGAAAAGTGCTGGTTTTCTTTACTGTAAGATTCCTATGAACTTTTAAAAAATAAGATAATATGCATTGCGACTTTCCAAGGTTGTGATGGATTATGCAAAAGGCTTGAGCTTCCTTACATGGACTAGTTTTGTAGACCTTATATTGGCAAACAGTGCTGTAGATTAGTGGTTTCCCAATCCCATGTGAGGTAGGACAGCATTTGGTAAACTTACTAAAACAATGGTTCGCAAAACGCAACCTAGACGAGTGCTGGGACAGGGGACTCAGTATTAAAACAAACAAAAACCCAAGGGAGTCTAATGCTTTGTCATGTTTGGGACTCACAGCTATGTAGATATTAATGTAGTAACCTTGTTCAGACCATTTGAAAGGCCAGAGCATTGCCAAACAGTATGAAAGGTCATACTGAACCGTCTTCCAAATAAGAGACTTGCGTGCGAGAACACGTGCATACATGTGCATACATGTGCAGCATTTGATGGAAGATACGTGCTATTATGCGGGAGGGGGTGGCAAATTTAAATCTAGCAATGTACTGGTGACTACTTTGTAATTTCAAGGACGTTCTATGTCCATTACTAATAAATCATGAATTTGCAGCGATTTTCAACCTTTTGCTTGTGTGTTGGTTCATGTCTATCTTCTCGGGCCTGAGCCAATGAACAGAACTATTTTGTTAAGTAAGTCCTGCAGGCGCCACTCACATAAGCAGTCTCTCCAAGACAGACCTCCTGACCTTCTGTTTATATAAATCCCTTCTTGAGTGAAAACTTTGGAAAATGTATTTACTTACACCTTGGTGCTCCCAGAGCTGTTTCATGTAGTGGCCCAGTCGATATATTTCAGCTTAAAAGAAGTACCTACTTATTGTTATTAATAACTACTCAACATCCTACCACACTCTTTAGTTTACTAAGTACTTTCACATAAATTGTCTTGTATCTTTCCTTACAAAACCTTGTGGGCTAAATAGGGGCAGTTATTTCCACCCAGCCAATAAGAATCACTGAGCTTTCCTATGCTAACACAATGAAAAAAAATGCAGTGTTTAGGGAGATGTCATGACTCCTGCTCTCAAAGAACCGATACCCTATTTGATAATAAAATATAAATTATATATAGGAACCAGCTGAAGTTGTTTTGAAGCTATAATGCTAGCTAGAGCAAATTAGTATGGCAGGACTTCGCACATACTAATTAGAGCTAACACTTGAAATAAGTTAGTCGGAGAAAGACAAATACCATATAATTTCATTTACCTGTGGAATCTAATGAACAAAATAAATAAACAAAAAAAATAGAAACAGATTCATATACAGAGAACAGACTGATGGTTGCCAGAGGGAAGGGGAGTTGGGGGACCAGGTGAAAAGGGTGAAGGGATTAAGAAGTACAGATTGGTAACTGTAAAGTACAGCGTAGGCAATATAGTTAATAATATTGTAATGACTATGTATGGGCCAGGTGGGTACTGGAAATAATGGGGAGAACACTTTGTAAAGTATATGACTGGCTAACACTGTTGTACACTTAAAACTGATTCAAAATAATATGGAATATAAACTGTTATTTTTTCTTTTTTTAAAATATTTTTAATTTAATTATTGTTCAAGTAGTTTTCTGTCTTTTACTCCCATCCCAGCCCACCCTCCCCAGTGCTCCCCACCTCCCTCCCATTTCCACCCCCCTTAGTTTTTGTCCATGTGTCCTTTATACTTGTTCCTATGAATCCTTCTCCCAAATATAAACTGTTATTGAAAAGTAAAATTTAAAGAAAAAAAGCTAACACTTAACTGAGTAGTTTAATCTTCACTCAACCCTTGAGGTAGGTACTAACTACCATTTAGCCCATTTTTCAAATGAGGAAACTGAGACCAAGAGAAGTTAAGGAACTTGCCCAAGCAATAAGTGGTGAAGCAAGATTCAAACTCCAGATTTGTCCAGCTCCATGGACTACTCTTTTTCATCATCATATTTTGCTATTAGGAAAGAATCCCCCAGGACTTTCAGCCAAGATGGAGGCATAGGTAGATACACTTTGCCTCTTCCCACAACCAAAAGAAGGACAACAAGAAATTAAAAAATTTTAAAACAACCAAAACTGCCAGGAAACAGAACTGTATGGAAGTCTGACAACCAAGAGTTAAAAAAGAAACATTCATTCAGACTGGTAGGCGGGGTGGAGTCAGGCGGCCTGGCTTATTTAAAATTTATGTGAAAAAATAAGGAAGGAAAACTTCCTCAATCTGGTGAAGGAAATAGACTTCCAAGAAGTCCAGGAAGCTCAGAGTGTCCCAAAGAATTTGGACCCAAGGAACATATCAAGGCACATCATAACTACATTACACAAGATTAAAGATAAGGGGAGAATCTTAAAAACAGCAAGAGAAAAAGAGACAGTTACCTACAAAGGAGTTCCCATAAAACTATCAGCCCATTTCTCAAAAGGAACCTTACAGGCAAGAAGGGGCTGGAAAGAATTATTCAAAGTCATGAAAGGCAAGGACCTACACCCAAGATTACTCTATCCATCAAAGCTATCATTTAGAATGGAAGGACAGATAAAGTGCTTCCCAGATAAGGTCAAGTTAAAAGAGTTCATCACCAAGCCCTTATTATATGAAATGTTAAAGGGACTTATTAAGAAATAGAAGATAAGCAAAAATATGAACAGCAAAATGACAACAAACTCACAACTATCAACAACTGAACCTAAAAAACAAAACAAAACAAAACTAAGCAAACAACTAGAACAGGAACAGAATCACAGAAATGGAGATCACATGGAGGGTTATCAGCAGGGAGGGGAAGGGGAGAGAATGTGGAAGAAGGTACACAGAATGAGAAACATAAATAGTAGGTACAAAAAGTCAGGGGGAGGTTAAGAATAGTATAGGAAATGGAGAAGCCAAAGAACTTACATGTATGACCCATGGATATGAACTAAGAGGGTGAGAATTCTGGTGGGAAGTGGGGTACAGGGTGGAAGGGAATAAGAGGAAAAAAATGGGGTAACTGTAATAGCATAATCAATGAAATATACTGTTAAAAATAAAAAAAAGAATCCCCCAAAGCAATGAGGCCCAATGTCAAAACTTAGGTAGAAGACAAGTACTTCCCTTAAAGCTCTGCTGACTGGTAGAAGAGAACTCAGGAGTCACAGGGAATCACAAAAATAGGTCAACAATGTTATTTTCCCACAACACTTACCTCTTTGATTCGTTTAACCAGAGCGTTCTGATCAAAAGCAACGGCCTCTGCACACTGATGGAGGTGGTCCTGATAACGGAGACAGAGCTGCAGCACCTGCTGAGAATCCAGTTTCTCCAGTTTGGTATTGGTTGGGGAAGTCTGGCCACTCAACAGCCCTTCAAAGCAGAAAGAAAGAATGAAATCAAATGCAATGGAAATTACTGTTACTAAACCTAAGAATAAAGTAGCTTAATAACAAGTTTACTATAGACTAGGTAAGAGACCTAAATTTAATCTTGCATCTTTTGTTCTCTGCTGATGACAATCATAGCAGCTACAATTTATGGAGCATCTATTATGTGCCAAGCACTGGCGAAGTGCTTCCAGTGCATTATTATATACCATAAAAAGGCATTACTAGCCCCAATTTACAGAGGAATCCATGACACAGAGAGGTTAAGTAACTGCCCTAAAGTCACATAGCCAATAAGTGGTTTCTCCAAGATAGAGTTCCTGACCTTGTGACACTACTTCAAAGTATCAGGAATATAAATCCCTTCTTGATTGAAAACTTTGGAATATGTATTTACTTAATTCCTTTTACTAATCAAAATGGCTATCTGAGAAACTGAGAAAAAGAGATAAAATTTATAAAGAAACTGTTAGGAGAAGATGCAAAAATAAAGAAAAATTAAAAAGTGAACAGAATGTCAGCTGACACACCATAAACCTCATTCTTCACATTTTCTTCTAACAAAAGTTGAGTCACATAACTATTAAATTCCTTTACATTTGCATAAGGACATTATATTTTCAAAGCCTTCCATGTAGAATTTTCTTACTTTTCTTTAAGGAATATAGAACAGGATAATTATTAGGATTTACAGAAAAAGAAATGAATTAAAGAGGTTAATGTGACCCCATGGTCACACAGCCAAGTGCTGACTAAGCCCAACTTTTGGCCAAGTCCATTCTGTTAAGCCAAAGTTTCACGCACTTCTTAGTGTTACAACCCTTTACCTTCCCCCAAATCACCAAGGACCTCAAAGAGCTTTGGTTTATGTAGTTAATACCAATATTCACATATTTAGAAATTAAACTGAGGAAATCCTTAAATACTGATTAAATCTTTTAAAAATAATAATCCCATTAAATATTAGCAATGAACATATTTTAAAGAAAAGAATTATATTTTCCAAAACAAAAAAGTTAGAAGAGTGGTACTTGTTTACATTTTTCTAAGTCTTTTTCATGTCTGGCTCAATAGAAAACAGCTGGAGTCTCATATCCGCTTCTGCATTTAATATGTTGTTTTTTTACATCATGTAACCTCTGGAAAACTTTATTGTACACTTGTAAGAGAATGAGCGTAATTAGCAAGTGTCTCGGGATTACTGTGAAAACGATTCTGACCTGAGAGAATCCCGGGCAGCGTCCTGGGGACCTCGGGGATTCCCCCCACTGCACTCTGAGACACACTATGCTAGAGCACTCTACCTCACACCAGAGCCAGTGATTCGAGCAAGGTACACCAAAATAAACATGACAGTGGTCACATGCTGGGCATGATCAGGGGGACCCAGCCACGCCAGAAGTCGTCTTGGGAACCCTTCCCTATTCCTTCCTGCTCACAACCACTGATGTCCAGCCTTCACTGGTTCTGAGGTATTGGAGCCCACACCAGGGTTCTTTGGCCCCAGACAGGCTGTGCCATGAGCTACCCAGTGGGTGATCCGGACAATGCTCGGAGTGCCAGTCCCTGCTCTCGGATCCTCCTCTGCCCGACAGAGCAGAACGCAGGGCCGGGCAAGCCCCTGCCTCACTCTACTGCCAGCACTCCACTGCCAGCACTCGGTCCCTCAGCTGCCCCACTGCCCATCCCAGCACAAAGAGCCCCGGTCCTCCAGGCAACCTGCCTCCACACAGCAGCTTTTGGTGAGGCTGGAGTTTGCAGAAATGGGAATTTATTTTTTTAATGGAAATTTTTATTGAGATCCTATGTACAGGATCTTGTGTATCTCTTTACTCAGTTTCCCCCAAAGGTAACATCTTGTAAAACTACAATAGAGTATCAAAACCAGAATACTGACATCAATACAATCCACAGATCTTATTCAGATGTCCCCATTTTATTGTACTTACACTCATTTGTGTGTGTGCACATGCGTGCACTACTGTATTAATTCTATTCGGTTTTGCACATGTGCAGGGTCACATGTTCACCACCACCATCGGATCCCGAGCCACCCCACCACACAATAATTTCCTGTGTTGCTTCTTCTAACCGCATCCGCCTCTCTCATCCTTGCTAGGGGAGCATCCTTAATCCCTAGCAAACAGTCATCTGTTCACCATTTCTAAAACTTTGTCATTTGAAAAATGTTTTTTAAATGGAATAATACAAAACCCTTACTCTTCCTTCTAAAAAAAATTGGGGGCGGATGGATTTCAAGAAAGCTGACAGTCTAGAAGGCACACTCAGGTGTTCAAGTTAAGTTGCCCACCCAACTTCAAAGTAAAAAAAAAAAAATCACACTTGAAATCACCCTTATAAATTACAATATTGCCCTCTTAATCACCCGAAAACAAAGCCCAGGCCTATGGATCTATCATCAGAATATGCTTCTCTGGCTCACAGGAATCTGCCACAAATCCTGCTCTAGATCATGGAATAATGCAGAGAAAAAGTGATAGGCCGGTTTTTCTACTCTTGAAGTTACAAAGTTGTGGCAACTGAGGCAAATTCTAGAAGCAATGAATACAAAGTACTCCCATCTCTCTCAAGTGTCAAGAACCCATTTCCCTCATTTTGATGAATGAACCACCCCTATATCTTCTGATAAAAGGAGGAAAGAGAACAGAATGGATTGAGAGATGGTAAATTTTGTCATTTTAAGGAGACCACAAACCACCAGATTTCGGAACCATTTGTATTCTGAACACACGTTAAGGATTTTTACCAATCTGCTCTCTCGCCCCCACCCACCACTTCCTGTGCCAGGCACCCAGCCAGCTTCACTCGTTCACATTACCTTCTGGACAAACCTCTGGGGGCCGCTAGGTTCACCCCTCTGTTTTCATTCTCACTTACCAATTCTAATAATAACCTGAACCCTTAGGTAATAGAGAATGAACCATATATCACCTTGAAATTGTTTTTGTATAATTTTATAAACATTCTTTATAACTAAAATTTTGTCTTATTTTACTTTTTATTATATACATTTCAAACACATACAAAAGTAGGAAAAATATACATACCCAAATATTCACCATGTAGATTCAATAAGTAAGACTTTATCGTATCTATTTCATCTTTTTCCCTATATTTTTTCTTTTCCTGAGCCCATTAAACATTACAGAGATCATGATCTTGCCTCCTCATATGCTATTCTTCCACATATTTTTGGTCAGTCTCCCGTGTTAAGTAAAAGTGTCTAAATCATGTCTTCCTTGCTGTGCTAGGGAACAGAGCCATTACCCTCAGCTTTCTCATTCTTCTTTACCTTAAAACAGTGATGTACAAAAAGTAGATGTTTATTGAGTTAAAAACCTGGCCTAATAGATTCCATATATTTGGGTTTGCAAATGGTAAAAATGGGAGACATTTCCTAAGACCCTACTGAAACCACTTTGTTTATATAGGAATGGAGAGTGGGCTCAGGGAAGGGAAGGACCAAGACTGAGTATTACACAGATCAAACAAATTGCCATCTGTACCTGCCTCTCTGTGTAAAGTGTGGAGTGGAAAAATAATCAGGGTCCAAGATTTGGAAAGTATTTTGCTGAGCAATCTTTTTCTTTCTGAAATGTCAGATAGGGGGAAATGTTTTTCTGAAATATAGTAAAGAGCCACATGGGTATTAACCTGGGTTATAACCAAGTGTAATTCCTTGACTTTTAGAGGCTTAGTCACTTACAGGACTAGAAATAATTATTATGAGTAGTGTGACTTCTATTTGAGAAACAGTAAAACAAGCTCCATTTCCTACCACAGAATCCAGAAAGCAGAAGCTATGTAACTTTGCAAAAGTTACCATGGAGGTACAATTAAGCAACAACAGATTATGAGAGAAGAAATTCCCTCTAAAACTAATAAGGGACTTTTGACTCAATTGGTTATGGTATATTTCAAATACAAAAAAAAAAAAAAAAGGACAGAACCCATGTGTATTCTTTACTTAAATAAACTCTAGTTCTCACAGGCACTCTCCCCGCTTATCTTAAAGAAAACGGAAAAGTCTAAAAACATCTGCCCAACTTGAACAGGACCTTATGATGTATGTTAATGCTCAATTACTCCGGGGCATGAAGAAAAAGGGCACCCTCCACGACTGGTGCCCTTAGGAACTTTTATGTCCATTCGGTCATGACAGAGGAGCACCAGTCTCACCCAGGAGAAAGGGCCGCTCAGAACGGCTGTCATCGTTTTGGTCACACTTTGTGGAAGAAGCAGCTGCAAGTACAGACAAGCCCAACACAAAATGCCAATCCACCATAATGTTCAATGTGATAGAAACAATGCTCCTCCTAACAGTCTGTTAGCACCTCTCTTCGAACAGTCTCCAAAAACCGCCAGAAGGCCTAAAATTAACTGTCTCATGGAGGTAGTGCTACAGACTGGATGTTTGTGTTCCCCTCCAAAGTTGTGTGTTGAAACCTGATCCCCGATGGGATGGGATGGAGTTGGGGCTTTTGGAAGTGGTTAGGTGATGAGGGTGGAGCCCTCATGAATGGAATTAGTACTATTATAAAAGAGACCCCAGAGCACTCACGTGCCCCTCCTAGCATATGAGGACACAGCAAAAAGTAGGCTGTCTGAATCAGGAAGCAAGCCTTCACCAGATACGGAATCAGCCACCACCTTGATCATGAACTTCCCAGCCTCCAGAACCATAAGACACAAATTCCTATTGTATGCAAGGCACCCAGTCCATGGTTATTTTGGTATAGCTGCTTGAACAGAGTAAGACAAAGAGAATGGGAAAAGCTGAATTCAGTCCCATTACTTCTTACCTGTGTGAATTTGGAGAGTGACAACTCATGTTTCATGAACTGGAAGACAATACTGTGAAAATGTCAATGCTACCCAAAGTGATCTACAGTTTCTCTGTAACCCTGTCAAAATTCTAATGACACATTTTTTTACAGAAATAGAAAAACTCATTCTAAAATT